GATCTCCGAAAACTCGGCACTGCAGGGAGTACGGGGACTCCGCACGCTCGCAGATGCGTGGAAGAATCCGGATAAGAAGCCGTACCTCCCCACCATCATGCACCCCGCGGCCTATACGCCGCCGGGCATGGAGTTCGCGGACACCTCGCACCTGCCGCCACCTCTGGGGCGACGCCCGGGCATGCTGCCCTCGCAACCGCTCCACAAGGCCCATGCACCCGCTCCAGGACCTTAATGGTCCACGCCGTGCTCAGCCGAGGACGAGTGACCCGCCCGAGCATCACCGTGATTGGTGGAGGTCGTACCAAGACCGCATCCCGCCGTGGATGGAACGGGACCAGGATGGAGGTCCAACGCTGGAAGCCGCCCAGCTGTTCGTATACTCGCGGCACCCGATCGCGCGAGACCGCACGAACCAAGAGCGCGCGCGGTGGGTCGCCCTGACCCTGACCCTCTTTTCGGTGCCCGGCCTATACCGGCACATCCTGGCCCAGTGGCAACTGGACCCCACTGGTCCGTACGCCCACGCGTACTATCCCGGCTCGCTGGGCGTCGACGACATCACGGTCTTCCACGTCGCGCACTGGTACGCAGTGCAGGGCATAACCCTCGCCCTCGCCGATCGAATGCAGCAATCCGCGCATCATGCCAGGGCGCAGCTGGAGGGCATGGACCATAACTCCGCCGTCCTGCCATTCGCGGGCATCGTCTCCATTGCAGGAGCAGGGCCCGTGCCCCCAGTCGCGGCTCTAACGCTGCGGGGCCTCGCTGCCAACCCGACACTAGTAGGCAGTGGCAGGGGTAGGGGTAAAGCATAGGGGTACACGCAGATTGACCCGCAGGTAAGGGGTACAGGTACCAAAAATAGCGACCCTCCATATACCCCTACCCGTGACAGAGGTTGAGGTATCCCTGTAGGGGTAACCCCTATATATACAAGGGCAAACACTTCAGCTCTGATCTGGATTGCACTGCCACACTCTACCAGTCTCCAGCGATGCGAGGGAGCATCGAGGCTACCATAAAAGGACATTCAGCCACCCACCGGCATGCTCCGGAATCGCAGGCCTACTGGGCAATAGACACACTAGCGTGAAGATGTAACTCCGCAATTGATTTTGTGCCACACAACTGTACAGTTCCAGCACTCAGAGAGGTACATGTCCAGCATGCAGCTTGCCATGCTATAGATCAAACCTCCTCTTCCACTCAATCACACTCGCAAGCTTCATATCAGGTTCTGTGTTCCATCTACACCTTTATCAAAGTCATGCTATGTGCTAACCCATCACAGACGTGGGATGTAGGTCAGGCAAACGTGTCAACCCGCCATCGGCGAAGGTCAAGGAGAAGACGAAGCCGTCGGGCGGGGAATCTCAGAAGAAGTTGCTCAAAAAACAGCCTGCCAAAGACAAGAAGACCAACGGCAGCACCGCCGGCGACAAGACTGATGACGACGGGAGCTCAGACAACAACGAGCGTCCTGCAAAGAGAACGCACCGCTTCCAGACGACCATTGAGGAGATCGAGGATGTGGATGCACACGCCGGCAAGAACAAAGCAGCCCCGAGGGCAGGTAAGGAGCCGGCATGAAGCCCATCGTGGTCAGCAGTGATGATGAGAAGAAGCCCAACGAGGACGAAGATGGCGACGAAGACGAGGACAATGAGGCTGAGCTCGGTGAGTTGCTCGCTATCTACTGTACTACTTCACTGACTGAGACGATGTGCTAGCACGGCTGCGCAAGTGCTGGAACTCGCCGCTATACGCGTTCTTCAAGACCGATGTCGAGATCGAGTACGTTGGCGGACGCCGCTCGCATGTCTTCACATGCGCTCGGAAGGACTGCGGGTTCACAACGCGTTGCTACCTCGATACCAAAGATCGATTGACCGGCAACCTCAGTAAGCACGCCATCGGGTGTTGGGGCGAAGAAGTCGTCGCACGCGCGAAGGAGACTGCGAGTGATGAGGAGGCACGCCGCCTGATCGTCGACAGCATTGAGAAAAGCGGGCATATCAGCGCTTACTTCTCGCGCAACAAGAAAGGGAAGGTTACTTACAGTCATATGCAGCACACGCGCGAAGAGACAAGGTATGCATACTCACCAATCACAGCTCCTATACATACGATGCTAACATGATGAATGATCCAAGGGCGGAGATCGTGAAGTGGGTCGCGCAGAGCATGCGCCCGTTCAGCATCGTGCACGACCCCGGATTCCTATCCCTGATGAAGACGGGACGGCCGGGGTACTACGTGCCTTCCCCATCGACCGTCTCGCAGGATGTGAAGATGGTATTTGCGCGGACTCGAGAGCGGATCGCGCAGCTCCTGCAGGTATGTTAGCAACATCTTCAAGCACAACATGTGGATATACTGACAGGGCGGGGGACCACAGGACTATGAGGGGAAACTCAGCTTCGGGACGGACGCGTGGACATCCCCGAACCATCGCGCGTTCGTCGTGATCACGGTTCACCTAGAAGTGGATGGTCAGCCGCTAAGACTCCTGCTCGACCTTGTGGAGGTCGCAGAGGTACGTACCTAACCTAGCATCTTGAGACATCCGCACTGATGCAGACAGGCGCCGGCGCACAGTCACACACCGGCTTCAACCTGGCCGCGGCATTTGCGCAAGTCCTGAACGACTTTGGCATTGAGCATAAAGTGAGTCAGCCGGAGGTCCTCGGAATACGGTAGAGAGACACTGTGCTTACCACGGCTTGCAGATCCTCAGCGTGACATGCGACAACGCATCGAACAACGACACGATGGTTGCGCATCTCGAAGCGATGCTGGAGGTGTTCGGGGGAGACTATGCGCGCACCCGGTGCTTCCTCCATATCCTGAACCTCACGGCGAAGAGCCTCTTGAAGCAATTCGACGTCAAGGTCGTTCAGGATGTGGAGGAGGTCGACGACGATGTCCGTCGCCTCCTCGAGATGGCACGCGAGCTCGCTTTGGAGGACAGCGAGGGGGTAGGTGACGGAGACAGTGGGGAGACCAGGGACGACGAGGATGACGAGATCGACAGCGACAACGACGAGAGCTGGGTCGACGAGGTAGTGTCGTTGGATGAAGAGGAGAGGGGGCAGTTTGAGGAAGAAGTCAGACCTGTGAAGATGACTTTGGCGAAGGTGAGTCAGCTCGCGGCGTACTCAGAAGAAGCCTGGGTTCTTGTCTCACGGTCTGACAGATTCGCCGCCTGGCGTTCAAGATTGTCAACTCAACAACCAAGCTCCTTCCGGCTTGGAACGCGATCTTGGAGGACCAGAAGCTCCCTCAACAGCTCATCCCCCGCGATGTACGAACACGCTGGAACTCGACTTATGATATGCTTGACATAGCGGTAAGATACCGGGACACTTTGGATAGCCTGTGCTCGAAGCAGGAGCGTGGGCTGCGCGCGTTCGAGCTCTCGGCAGAAGAGTGGACAATTGCGGAGGAACTGCGGGATGTGCTCAAGGTTCGAACCTTGTTCTTGCTTCCATGCCACACGCTGACGCCGAATTCTTCCCTCTTTGCCCTCTGCCCTCTGCCCTGCCCGTCGACACCTGCTCCCACCCGCTGCTCCTTCGTTACTCCCCACCCTCACCCTCCACTATCCCCTCGTTGCTGCGACACCTCTTCATCGCCAACCTCCTCCTCCTCTCGCGAATGTCTTGAACCATGCACAGGTCTTCAAGGACGCGACCCTCTTCTTTTCGCGCGACACACCCAACCTCGCCATGGTGATCCCAGCCATGGATCACATCGACACAATGCTCACGAACCACTGCCGCGACGACGGCACTCTCGACCCCGCTATCCGCTCTGCTCTCCGCCTCTCGAAGAAGACCTTGAACAGGTACTACAAGATTAGCGACATGTCCACGACGTACAGGATTGCCATGGGTACGTGTTTCGTATGCCTCACGATCATGTACTGACACATTCTTCTAGTTCTTCATCCGGGTCACAAGCTCAAGTATTTTGAGCAGGCTGGATGGCCGTCGGGGTGGCGCAAGACGGCGGAGCAGATAGTCCGCAAGGAGTACGACACCTCCTACACCCCCATCGTCGTCGACGGCGAGGGCGACGGTCTCCCCAGCAGCGACACCGAGCCTGAAGACCCGCCCACTGCCCCCTTTCAGAAGGCATCGCGTCAGGCCAGCCGGAACAGTCTCAGCACGGTCGACATCCCCGAGGCGAGTACTCTTTTCTTACAGCTTTGTAGTCTAGCATCCACTGACATGTCGTCGCAGGGCGCCAACATATTCGACCACCTGCCTGGTATGGTGGCGCTCGCCGACGTCCCCGGTCGGGACGAGCTGGACGAGTACCTCAGCACGTCTGTTGAGCCCACGAAGGACGCTCCGGGGTGGTGGCACTCACGGCGGGCTAAGTACCCTCGTCTCGCGCGTATGGCCTTAGATTTTCTTTCTATTCCTGGTAAGCTCGTCGCCCCGTTTGTTCATTCATCTATTACTGTGCTGAACACACTCGCAGCGACCTCCGTCGACGTGGAGCGGACCTTCAGCCGTGGTCGTCGCCTCCTCAGCCATGTCCAGAGCCGACTCAGCGCACAGACGACGCGCGCGGTCCTGTGTCTTGGCGACTGGGTGCGTCTGGACCTTGTCAAGGCCGAAGATATCCGTTCAATCTCGAGGCTCGCTGAGGTCAAGAGTGACTTGCTTGACTACGAGATGGAGGCAGGATGGGACTGCATCAGCGGTGTTCTCGCTGCCAGCAAGGGCCGCTAGTCATGTTAGTCTTTACTGTAGTTCTCTCTCCGGTGTGGTGTATGTCTCCGTCTTCGTCGCGAGGATGTCTCCGTCCGATATGTCTAGCCTGTAGGCTTGGGCGGTTGTCCAAGTCCGTTTCTGTCTCTGTCGTCGTCTCCTGTGCATGTGTCCCGTTCACGTCCAGCTGTTCCTTCGCCGTCTGTCTGTCCCCACTGCCAGTACCCTTCTCCGCTGCCGTTATACTGTGCTCGCCGTTGTGTAGCCCGGTCATCTCTTGCTGTAGACCATTTGTCACGGCCCGCACCCCCGCTGCCACCACCGCCATCGATCGATTAGAGCTACACCCCCTGGTCAAGTCAGATTGTCTGCGCTCGCTGGCGGTCATGTCCGAGTCGACTGAACATCCTCGTATCTTGCCCATTACACCCACCCTACCTCATCAGCCTGCGCCCTCATCGCTTCTCTCTGCTTCTCAACTCAGCACACGGCCATGCCTACACCCTCGCCTGTCGAGGACGACGATCTACCAGAGCTCGTCGACTATGAGCCACAGGCATACGTCCCTCCGCCAAATGACGCTCCCTCGCCCACTGCGGGTCCTAACACCGTGCACATCGACCTTCTAAGAAGCTCCTGGACATCCCCAGGACGTGTACCACTGCACGCCGTCCTTCTATGTGTCACGGACTCATGGTTGGAGACCTTTTACGAGGTGCTTGTCCTCGCCATTCTGCAGCCTGTCCTACATACTCATCAGGTACCAGCTACGAGTACCCGTGTACTTTCAGGACTTTGCCAGCACACCATTGGGACACTGGAAGGACGTTGTGGAGGCAGTACAGAACTGTTCTTATGGACTCCTTCGGGAACGGTTGTCCGAGCACCAGTTTGTCCTTCTGCTCGATTTTGTGAGGACCCTGGAGCGCCTGGCTATCGCCCGATCCTGCAATCGTGGCATGAATTCGCCCGTCTGATGCTCTCGGCAACGTCTCCTGCTCGATCCCCCGAGGCTGGCCCACCTCCTGGTAGCCCGCCCACTGGGGGCCTTGCTATTATATCAGCATGGGCTCGGAACCTATTCCCGGTGAGTACTCTTCTATAGCAGTGTCTTCATGGCAGTCTGACACCTCAATCACAGACTCACTTCCTCGATTGGCCCCTCCCTACGGTAGAGAATGCTCATATTAGTGTGTAGTCACCTGTAGGCCCATAGAAGTACTATCATGACATCTAGCTTGTATTGTGAGCCCAATGAAGCGTCCATATGAACCTCTGTGTGATTCTATGGCTCTTACCCTTGTAAATGGAGGGTTACCCACCCGTGGAATGGATACCCATGGGTAGCGGTACCTGTGCACGGGGTAACCCTAACCCTAAAAACCCCCGGGTACACGGGTAGGGGTTTTTGCAGGTAAGGGTACGGGTGGCTTTGGAGGTATCCCGGGGTATACCCCTGCCACTGCCTAGCGACCCGTGCGCAGCGGGGCCGAGCTTGCCAGCTCTATGCAAGTGCACTCGACCACCACGCACCATGATGACCAGCACCCAGCACAGCGGTCACGTATACTGGGCACTGCCAGCAGAGCGCATAGGCGGCCACACGGCGAAGCGTCCCATGATTCGACGTCCGTGCGGCCGGGGCGCACCCACCTTCTGTACGTGCGCGCGGGAGCGCACGCGCCCAGGGCTCGAGAGATTCACACTGCAGCTCCGCAACGGTGGACGCTGGGGTTTGCGCCCTGGATACTCGCACGTGTCCACTGGGGTGGGGGCGGTACGGCGTGCTGAACGAATAAACGGTCAGCTGGTGTGCGGGAGGACAGGGGAGACGCGTGATGACGGTGGCGGGGGCAGCTGGAGGACGACAGCATCAATCTGTATGTGCATTACGACAAGCAGGCCCCGGAAGGCTCGACATTGGACCCTGAGCGAACAGACGTATACAAGCTCTGTGCAGCCTCTCGAACGCGAGGACGCCACGCCCTCGATCTGAAGATGCTTCTGTCACCGCGGCACCCCGTCCTCGGCACCGTCTTCCGCAACGGCAGCCGGCTTCTCCGGCGCAGGGTACGCGTCTGCGTCGACCTGCACGACGACAAAGTGCCGCGTGAGCAGGTTGAAGACGCAGCCGAAAATGAGCGCGATCAGCGTGCAGCTCATGATGATGACATTGTATGGTATGTTGATGTCCGGCGTGGCAAGGTTCACGAGCATCACAGGCCAAGAGCGAGTGAATCTCCTGCGACGGTCTCGTTGCGTCCCCAAAGGCAAAGGGGGCAAGAACAGCAGGAGAGAGGTCCCAGCCGTGCTGCGCGTCTGGGGGGGGGGGGCTTGTAGTACCGCAGGAACGGCTTGGAGACGTCCACCGAGAGGTGTGGCGTCACATGTGGCGGGAGGGTGAGCACCGCCTGCAGGAGCGCCGGGCGGGAGTGGGGGATCGGTGGGGTATGAGAGGATGTTTACGAGATCATCTGTCGAGGACACGGGTATACGTCAGCTGTCAAGTCATGGCGCATCAGAGGGTGAGGCGAGAGTACTTACCACGCGAAGCCCAACCAATGTGTGCACTCAGGGTGTGCAGATAAAATTGGAGGTGCCAGGGCATGGTCTCGAGGTACCCAACGCTGACCTGAGCGGACAAGTTGTTTGTAACGTCTAGCATTATGCGCGCCTCGGCTTCGCTGGTGCCCTTGAGGTTTCGGCGCACGGAAACATCAGTGAGCGGCGGCGCGCTCGACGTTCTCGCTGCGGGAGTGTCAGCTATAGCTTTATGATGACGCCACGGAGACCTTACGATACTCGAAACGGCTCTCGTCCGGCCATCGCATAGACATATCGAGCGCTTCCTGCGCTGTAACCAAGTCAGCAAGTCGGGTTGACGCACGAGTAGGATGAGCGCCACATACCCGAGTCGACCGTATACATCGCAATGCTGCCGGACACATCGGCTGGCCCTGGGCTAATCATGTATAGCGCTGCGCTAGGAAGCTCCACGCAGACTTTGTTCACCCGGGCGACAGGGCAGGCCCTTCGATGCTGCGGTGGAAAACGGAGCGCAGTGACCAATCTGTAACGCACCCAGTCAGTCTACACGTTTTCCGCACACACCGGAGAGCCCATTGTGGACTTTACGGGACGTCATCCACAGCGATCTGGTGTGAGATGAATGGCGACAGCCCCCACGCCCGGGACACCGAGATATGGACACGGGGGAGGGCTAGCCGTATCAAGCGAATTCGGGATGCTTACCTCGACGCCCGTCAGGGCAAAAGGGGACCGGATCGAAGACGCCTTGGAAGGCGAGACGCACTTCGACGCCGGCGCCCCCTCGGCGCGACGCACATGCACGCCGAGCCCGCGTCAAACACCTTGTGCGGGTTTAGAAGGCTCGCGATGCCCGAGAGGGACTTCCACGGTAGGAGCTTGAGGAATGGTACCATGTTCTCCGTGCAGACGTGCTCTGAAGGCAGCGATGCATGCCGGAGTTGATATGGGTGAGTGAAATTGGGGGGAGAACGCATGGGCTGGAAGGTGAGGGAGGTGGTGCGCTGTTCGTCTAGGTGTCCAAGAGACGCGCAGAAGAGTCCGACTAGCAGGTTTCTCAGTCCCCGCCACCGCTGTTACACTAAAGGGAAAGTAGATGCAGTTAGCCCACGCACAATAGAGACACAGCAGGGTACTACCGATGTCGGAGCCGTGTCGCCCATCCACACCCACAACTCGGGGCCCGTTCCGACTCCCATTTGATCAGGATACCTCCAGCGGTCGTAGTTCCACTTTCCGGGCGTTGAGCGTAAGGTGAAGCTCCGTTACTGCATGTTCACGAAGTAACTGTCCGAGCGCGAGCGGGAAGAGGGTATAATGCCGCCCTACTTGCCAGTTGCGGAGACGTACCGGGCGAAGCAGCGACTGTGCGTACCTTCGTCGTCACTGCCCAGAGCTTGTGGGTTTCTAAGAATCGCCCCTTTCAGAAGAGTCGTAAAGGAGAGCCGAGCCTGCAGCTTCCCATCTCGAAGTGGATGTAGTATCAAGTCCTCCCTGAACACTTCGCCTTGGGCGAATGCCGCGACGACATTCAGCACTAGCAGAAAGTACGCTCTCCAGCAGAGTTCCATAGTGATACTTACTTTTTCAAAGCAGTCCAGTAAGCATACTCCTGAAGCGGAACGGAGTGATTGGGAGAGGAAGCTTGGGAGGAACACACGTTGCACGGACGAGGAGCGGAGGTACATGGCCTAAGTGATCGATGCCTTTGGCGCTTGAATTCCACGTGCTAAGAACACAATCGGCGTCTATCCTTTTTGGAACTTGGCACTGGGACTCAGAAACTGCCACAGCCTCTCACCTCTGCTCTTTGACGATTCGGTATGTCAAAAACTGCTTGCTGGCCATATATTTGCCTTTGATACGAGGCAGAAACTATGTTATTTATTGGGCAGTGCTTACTCTTCTGCCTGTGCTTGATTACGCGTCAAACAGCCTGAGTGCAAGATGTGCTTTACGTGGGAGCCAATCTTGCACTGGATGGTTGGTGGTTCACATTACAGAATCACAAAAAATCTAGTGCTAGAGCTCTGGTATATCTATGTAACATTGGGCTGGGGCTTGTTTTTTTTCGTCGATTGCAGCGCTAATCTGCGATGGTCAGTAGATCTACAATAATCAGACGGGATGAGCTTGCTCGCGACAAGATTCAACGTAGAAGCGGCTGAATCCTTGGAGTCCGTCTCACAAGCGTCCCGGCGCATCATTATCAATCCAGACATCTCAAAGAAAGCCAAGGTTTACGCCGGAGACGTCGTGGGCTTATCTTCCGTAGGCTCAGCAGGCTCAACGAGTGCGATGTAAGCGCACAGAGAGAGAGAGAGAGAGAAAGCTCAGTGTCCTATGCGTCGTCGGCGTCGGCGTTGTGCCAGCCAACTTTCGGCGTCATCGTCAACCCGCTTAACATGATCTGCGGGATCTCCTCCGGCTTCGATATTGTCGTTCGCCTCGGCGACCTGCTCTGTATGTCCCTTCCCCCGTCCATCTTCTTCACGCTGACCGCCACACGCAGCCGTCTCTTAGCGGCCTCAGCTCAGGTTGTGGCACCCTGCTCAAGACAACGCGGTTGAGGGCGAACGACTCGCTCACGCCCGACCAGGTCGAGTGCCACTACCGCGGGAACGTGCACTGTACTGCCCGGAGAACAACGGGCACTTCCCGACGCTGCGCGTCGCAGCGACGCGCACCGCGCGCATCTTCCGGGCTGGTCGCGGGGACTATATGCCGCGCATGTCATAGTTGAGGTACTCGAGACTGTTTTTATCGGCTTGCGGTATGTGAAGGACACGCTCGTGGGCACGAAGCGCTCGCTGCTCGCCGTCTACTCAAAACGTGCCATGGGATAGTTCCACTCGTGGTCTCGAGTGCGTCCTTTCTTCCTTTCTATTCCACGTATGCAGCGCACAAATTGACTTGTTGGCTCTGGTGTTCGAATTCGTGCAGGCTCTCTGCATCACGACGGACCTCTCGCGGCAGTCAACTATCACCTACCGCTACCAGGCCGAAGAATCACTATACCAGCACCTCAACGGCGTCTGTGTGATCTCCACGGTGGCCTGCAGCGGCAAGTCTTCTTTCACCCGGCCAATATGGCGCGCGCCGGTGTTTCATCGACTTGGGTTACGAGCCCGCCAACCGGCAGAGCACCGCCGATTTCCTCGTCGCTGGTGAGCTCTTATGACTCTTCTCTATCTCTCGATGCTGATGCTGACCTTGCCCCACCCCGCAGTGACCAATCCGAACGGACACATCGTGAGCTTCGGGTTTCTGGGTTCGAGCAGCGTGTTATGCGCTACCGCCAAAAAGCCCGCACATCCCGCACATCGTGAGCATCTCGATGTGCAGGCGCACTCATGATGCGGCGGGTGCAGATCGGCGGCGACGGGGCATCATCGTGGGTATGTCGTGGTCGGTCTTGAGCAGAGCGCTACTCAGTTCCCATGAGTCCCGGCAGCATTGTTTTCTTCTCCTGGTGCAATACTGACGAGTCTTACAGCTTTATCCTAATATTCACATTCTAAATGACGATAAGGGTGCGGTTCCGCTTGGTCGCTGCGCTGTTGAAGAGCGCCGCGCCCGCGCAGGTGATCGACGGTCTCACCCACCAATCAGGGAGTTGTGCGAGGGCTTCCCCGGTTCGTGTGCCCCCTTGCAATGTACGCCGCCCGGTGCTAACGACCTTACAGAGGAGTTCAACATCTATCTCAACTATGTCCACAAACTCGGTTTCGAGGAAACACCTGATTATGATTTCCTCCGGGAGCTGTTCGCGAAAGTTTTTCAAATACGGCGTCTACGACTGGAACCTTCTCAATGGTGAGATTCACGCTGCCATCCCACGGACGTTCCGCTAATATAAATCTCCCCGATCCTGTTTAGATGGCAGAGGCTAGGAAGCGTCAATGGTAGGTGTAGAACAAGATCCTTGCGCAAATACAGAATGCTCCCCCCGCGCCTACACAGCAGCAACGCCGCGAGCTCGACCGAACCGGCCGCGACGATCGGTCGCGTGCGTCACAGGCAGGTGGTGCGGGACTCGTCGTTTCCCCTTCGCCCGCGCTCGTGCGCACCGGCTCGAAGACGCGGCACCGGGCGAACCTCGGTGCAGGCCAATCGGCCGTAGCTCGGGTGGACGTCCCGGCGGCGCAGCGACGTATCAACCAGCAGGTCAGCGTGTCACATCCGCACGCGAACGCGCGGGCTACGACTCGTACGGCCGCGACGAGTACTAGGGTAGCCAGCAGCCATACGGGCGCGCGTCGCCAATGGTGTCGAGCGTGAACGCGGCGCCACATGCGCTCAGCAACGCGCGCGCGATGGGCGGCGAGGTCGGCCCTGCGAACGGCGGCGACTACCAGGGACAGCAGGAGGAGCAGCCGGAGAGCACGCTATGGAAAATCCTCACGTGTCGCTGTGGATGAGCCGCGCCGCCCCTTTCGCCCTCGTGCGCCCGTTCGTCCTGTCCTTACCGTTTGGTCTCGTACGGTTTGTCGGCTGTTTTCCCTCTCTTCTCGCTGGGTACTTTGGGTCGCGGAGTCGCTCGGTCTCCTCGTGGGTTTCTTGCTCGCTCATTCTCATTCACCACATGCTGTCTTGCCTACAATCCCAACACTTCTCCCAGTACCCCCTCCATTCTACTACACGCGCACGTGCGCTGCGGTGCATCCTTGTGCCATCTACTCCACTTTACCCACCCGCTTTTACGATCTCTACAGATACACATCCCCCAGCGTAATAAGCTAATACAGTTCAAGGCCGTCTTGACGATGGTATTAGACGAGCGGCGCGTAGTAGTACAGCCAATCAAATTCAAACTACAGTGCACACAATATCCGGATGCCCGTTGTAGAGATTGCAGCCAGGGTTCTGACTTATCTGCTATAAACTGGAGGTGAATGGTAGGCCACACTCGAAACTAGAGCCGGCTTACCTGCATGACGGGCTGCATTGGCCCAAGCCGCTCTTGGACAGCCCTCTATATCATCTCTCCAAGCCGTGCCATGCCCACACCGCTGCTACCTGCTCCTGCTTCAAGACGCTCAATCTTGCTGGTCAGGTTCCGGACCTCTTGAGCCATGAGGTTTCTCTCCTCGCGCTCCTTCTTCTCACTGTCCTGTAAAGGCTGCAACCGCCTCTGCATTGCCTCGAGGTCCTGCGTCACGTCGGCTATCTTCTCATCTTGCCTCCTAACTTGACGGCGCAGCTCGACATTCTCGCTCTCGATGCGCTCTATCTTCTGGTCTTGCTGGTGGATTGTATGACGCAGGGTGTTCACCTCTTCCTCCAGGTGCGGGTCCGACCGCGAAGCGGAGGCGAGGGCGAGCCCACTGTTAATCAAATCGGGCAAGAGAGTGGCGAAGGCCTGGATCGATCGTTTGAATCGAGCCGAGTGGTCGTCGACACAGGAATACGCATCTAGAATAGGCTGACGGAGTGCGGGGAGAACAGGAGCGAAGGAGGTGCTGGGGAACGCAGAGGCGGATGGCGCGTCGGAGACTAACGCGTTCCGGGGAGGCAAAGAGGGTGGGGGTGCTGGCGAATTGACCTTGGCCATCGAAGACGGCTCAACACGCGCCTCTTCCGCCCTCGACGCCGACTCTACGATAGCCGCGCACACCGACACGGCTGCGACAGGTGGGCCGTCAGGCAGGAGGTACGAGCCGTTGAGCGACGACTCTCCGCGAGTGCGATGCGCGCCGGTAGTAGGAGCGGAGAGCGCGCGCTGGAGGCCAGACGTGCTGCTGACCATGGCTCGGCTTTCCGACGCGCGGGAAGAGCGTCGACTCATACCAGGCGCCACGGAGTTGGCGGAGGCCTTTAATTTCCCCTTCGTCTTCGGTGCGTCGTCGCTCCTTTCCTCGCTTTGCCTCTTGGCCACGTCTTCCTTTGAGATCGCGGGCGGGCCTTTCCGCTTCTTGAAATTGCGCCCGAGCGAGGCGAGGGAGCTTGCCGACGAAGATGCCGACGAAGATGTCCGCCCCGGAGGCTTGTCGGACTCGAGCGCAGCGTCTGTGAATGTGCGCTTCAGCATCGAGCGTCTAGGTATCTGTGGGGTACCAGAGACGGAGGGAGGTGCGCGCTCTTGCATGGAGGGTGGCGCGACAAAGCCGGAGAGCGATGGAACCTCTTCCAGATCTGGATAGTCCAGTTCCATGTCGGACGTCAGCACGGCAGAGCTAGGGCCTCGCGGAAGGGTCGACGTTTGTTCAGAGTCGGACAGGATCACTGCGGCGACAGCCCTGCGCCTTACATGCGGCTTCTTGATCGTCCGCGGCGGAGGGTAGTAGTTGCGCTTTGTTTGCGGCGGTGGCGAGTAGGTGGGCGGCTTGCTGTTCATTTGCGCCGCTCGTGTTAAGGCATCCACCATGCCCTGGGACGCGGAGTTGTCAGCGACGCGGGGCATCGAGGACCGCGAGGTGGAGTTGTCGCCAGACCGCTGTGGTAGTGCAGAGTCAGCATAGACAGGCACATCACAAAGGACGGGACGAACATGGCTGCGGTGGCGTGAAGGGTGTTCAGCTCTATCGCCGGGACCTCTTGTATGAGGCGTAAGCGCGGAGGACCCAGGGTCGCTCCGGCCTGCAGGCTTCGGCTTCTTCCGCGGTTGGGTCGCGAAATCAGACCGAGAAGGGGACGACACTCTCTTGAGCCCGGTTACTACATATGGGGGAAGAGGGGGAACCGCAATGTAAGGGACGATGGCCTCGGGGGGCGGGTGCGCGACGGCGGGCATGGAACGCTGGCTGTCGGTATCAGAGTACCCAATTTCGATCACGTCCTTAACCTGGCCCTCTTGCGCGCTTGTGCTGGAAGACAAGGCAGGGAAAAGTCCTTCGGTCGTCGATGGCAGTTCCACCATGGCGGGAAAGGGCGAAGATGACCCTTCAAACAAGCTCCCCTCGCCCTCATCAGAGCTGTTGACAGGGGTGAGAGGCGACAACTGGTCGACCGTCTGCTTCGGTTCCGCCTTGGACATTTTCGGTGTCACAGGCGCCGCGGGGACCACTTCTAGCTCGTCGACCGAAATACCCATAGCCTGCAGGCGAGCTGTCAGTGGGCCGGTCCACCACGTGGTAGCACTACTCACCCATACCCGAGTGTGACGTTCGCGTGGCCAGGCCTGCATTTCGGACAGCTCAGCGCTGAGACCCTAAGACGTTCTGAGGCGCTTTTGATGCTGTCGATGTTGAGGAGCGGCACATGGTGCTTCTCGCTTCGGCCCGATGAAGGTCATTGCACTATGTCAGCTTGGTTCCTAGGGGTTCATCGTAGGGTCTGCGACCCGCCTGTGGCGTCCTAACATCACGCAGAGCGCAGGCTGTTTCGAAGACACAGATATCTCCAGGACCGCAAAGTTCACTGCATACACGATATCGAGTCGGCGGTGCTCCGATCTCGGAATTGAAGCCTACAAACCGAGGTTTCGCAGCCTCTCGCGGAGCTTCCGCACAGGGAAGCGCGGCAGCGATAGCCCTCGCGGCATCGTTGCGGTCGGATAGCAGCATGTCGAAGGGCCTGGTCTGCATCGGCTCCATCTGGCTGCAATCACAACTCCGTCCTTCGACATAGCACGCGGCAGATGAGAAGTCCATCGCCCGGCTGCGGCGCGGATCCGTTGTCTGCCGTCCGACACTCCCTGCACTCGAAAAGCTCTGGAAGATATCGGCGCCGCAGAAATCGCAAGCAAGGTTGCACGACTCCGCGCGGTCGCTGTCACGGCGATCCTTGAAGTCGGTTGGCGGCTGGAGTGTGATCTTGAGACCATTAACCGAGCTCGGCCGTGCCAAGTTGTCGCCAATCGTGAATCGGTAGAAGCCGTGGCGATGGAAGTCAACGCCCAGCCGGCACCCGTCTCGTCGCGGAGAACTTCGGCGAAGAGCCGCACGCTTGAGCTTCCGCGCGCTCGCGCACGTCCGGCTGTGGGGGTGGTGTGACGGCGCGGGTAGATTTGCCGTCGGACGAATCAGCGTAACCGACATTACTGCCCCAGACGGCGGAGTCTTGCTCCTCAATACGTTCCACCTTGGGCGTGTGCGTAGGGGCGAGGGCGAATTGCAAGGCCTCGGTGAGATGCAGCATCGAGCGGTACAGGACGGTCCTGACGCGGTACTGTTCAGGTCGACAGACCCTGCGTTTGAGACAACGGTAAGTATCAATCGCGGAGGATAAAGAAGCGTCCCACATGCGGTAGGTGGGGAGCTCGCAATGTAGCGCAGTCCTGAGATTATCCGAAGTCATTCGAGTTCCTTGTGTGCCGCCGTGTAGGCATCGCCAATGCCCATGTAGCACAGTAGCGACTTAACGGCTTCCTGTTGAACGGGGATGTCACGTTAGCGGGTAGGTCCCAGTTGCAAGGTTCGAAAACTGACGGATTAGGAGAGGTACCGGAGGTAATTATCCTGCGAGCTAGGTAGCACACTCGTTGGAATTTCGCTGGATTTGAAGAGCCAATCCCGCCACTCAAGTGGGCAATCAGCATCTTTCCAGCACCACCGCTGGGTTTCTGCATGTTGGGAGTCTCAGTGAGCCAAGTGTGATTCAAAAGCCGATGTGGCGGCTTACCTCCGGGGGTGGCGCAATAAACCGCGGGCTTGGATGTGCTATACTTACAGAACGCTCGAGCGAAGCAGGATTGACGCTAAACATGGTGATATTGCTTCGCGGTGATTTTCTTTGGGCGACGCGGCCACCGGTGTCATGCCGCGCACGTCGGGAGTCGATGCACGGGAAAACTCGTATGTTCTATCTTGTCACTCAGGCTTCACGGGGCTTGCGTATTGTCCTGGACGTTCTATTCTTTCTTCGTCCTGGTACATATGCACAGATGGATGCTGCAACATGCCCATGTTGTTCGTCTGGCGTGCAGACGAGCACAACCATCCTCCTACGCGGTACATACGCGCACTCCGCATTGGTGCATTGGTAGCGCCGCCAAACAAAGCTCCCTACAACAGCTCTCAGTGCGGTACGAAATCAGCACAACGCGCCCCTGTTTCACACTCGAAGACACTCACGCTGAACGCGTCACGGATGTCCTCCCGTTGCCCGGGACACGAGGCGAGGGCGCGCCGTGGCAGGCGTCGCTTGTATTGCAGTGCCCCGGCCGCCTGAAAACGTGCATGATCGGTGCAATTCACATGCGTGAGGGTATCGAAGTCGTCAAACACATTGCGACGTGGGCTCTTAGGACTATTTTCAGAAGAGTGCATGCCGAGATTCTCATCGATCCGGGAGCGTTACGGGACGTACGTTTCGGCGTGTTGATTTCGGGAACTTGCATGAAAGTTGCCCGAGCGACAAACTCTTGTCGTCTCCGACAGCGCCGATACTCCCTGCGCATATGCGGCGGAGTTCATGGAACTGTCCAGTCTTCTTTTGAGAGCCTCGTGGTGTGGCGTCGAAGCAGCAGGTTGGCAGAATGGTCTGTGCCCGGGGCGCATGAAAATTCGAATTTATCATCGCAATTCGCGTCAATGTAAGCTGGGAACTCACCTGATCCCAGATCGGGGCTGTACCCATCGCACAGAGTATGACTCCGCGTCGCTGCTCGCACAGTGGGTTGCGAGGACTGTCGGAGCTGTGGTGAGGGGCCGTTCCCTCGAGAACGACGTTACGGACGCAAGACGTGTGCAGCGTCTTCATACACGCGGGGGCGACGTACGACCGTTCTAAGTCTCCCGCAGCCCCGCGGAAGAAGCGCATGTCGCACCTAATATTTCGCGACAAGAGTCCGACAGGGTCACACCTCCATGACAGATGCTCTGCTAGCATTTCAGCTGGGGGCATCCAGGCGCGCAAGCGGGGGCGAAGCGTACTCTGTCGGGGAGCGCACTGGACGACTCTTTCGGGCAATGTAAGCGCGGTTCGTAGTGGCACGGGCTGAGAACGTACCGTACCCAACGCAAAACGCGAAAGCAGCGTGCTAGAACGAGCTTGCGCGCGCCATTTGTGCCGAGCGACATGAGGGACGCCGGATAACCGGGCACATAGGGCTGCTGGACGCGGAGGACGTGGCGGGGTGTTCATGGTTTGTTGTATTCGGAGTACAGGATCGGTGGACGTCGCAGCACCGCTGTTCATTACTTTTCCGCACATGCTCGGCTACATGTACGTGAATCTACAAGACGAATAGGACGGGCACAGAGGAAGGAGCGGAAGGTCCTGATGCAGTGGACGGACAGCGGTGATGGACAGCTTGAGTGACTCAGAGACGGAAGTCAGAGGGAGGAAGGGCGGCGCCGCGGGGGCCACGGCGTGGAGCCAGATGAGGCTGCACAAAGTAACTTGCCGGGCCAACTTGCCTAACGTGGCCTCCGCCACACGTGGGCGAGCTTGCGTGGGGCCTGCGACTCCCACGCAGGCAATCCGCTTGGAGCCGTGCGTGGGCGCTCCCTCCTGTTGAACCATCCCCTGTCGAGCTCGCCGCCGCAATCCCCTTCGTCAACGCCGCCATCATTACACCGATGCTGCACCGCACCTGTGGTCGCTGTCGGGGAATATCTGGGTGTGCTTCCAAGTCAGGTCAGTTGCTGCGTACTCTGCCCATCCCGGCGATGCGCAGTGTTGTCTTGCCCCACGGCCGGCTCGAGTTGTTGGCCCAATGGCGAGCTAGCTCTTGTACCCAGGGAGGGCTCTGTTGCTACTGAACCTCATGCTGATATTCTATCTTTTATAGTCAAGCCTCGCATTGTCCTGAATTAATATCTGTACCCACCGCTGGCAGCATCCGCACAATTCTGCGATGTCTGTGCATGATACACTTGAGTGCAGGTCTCGTTCTGTGCCCTCGTCTCCGTCCCCGTCCTGCGCCCTCTTCCTGCTCCCTCGCCCTGACCGCGGCCCTGGTCCCGCGCACCCGCCCTTGTCCTGTGCCCTTGTCCTGGGTCCTCGTGCCCCAACGCCCTCCCCGGCCCTCGTCCTCGCCCCGCTGACTCCTTCGTCGTCGTCCTGCGCCCGGTGTCCTCCTTCGCCCTCGCCCTGCGCCCTGCGCCCTCCTCAGCCCTCGTCCTCGCCTTCCACCGTCGCCTCCCACCGTCGACCATCCCCGTCATCTCATGCCCCACTCGTACTCCGCCCTCTGGGGCCCTCGTCGCCTGCTATCCGGGCCTTTGTCTCCCGCCCTCCGGGGCCTTTGTCCTCCGCCCTTCTCTGCCGTCGTCGTCTGCCGTCGTCCACTGTCGCCTCCCTCGCCCTCCACCCTTGCCCTCCGCCTTCGTCTCCCGCCCTCCTCTGCCGTCCTCGGCTTCCCTCCACCGTTGTCCTCCGCTCGTGTCCGCCTTCATCCACCCTCGTCTCTCTCCTTATCCTCTGCCTTCGTCCTGCGCCCTCGTCCGCTGCCTTCTTCTCCCGCTCTCATTCTCCGCCCTTGTCCGCCCTCATTCTCCGTCCTCGTCCGCCCTCGTTGTCCGCCCTTGTACGCCCTCGTCCTTCGACCCGTGCACGCGCCGTCGTCCTTCGCCCTCGTTCTGACCTGCGCCCTTGTCCCCGGCCCCCGTCCTAGCCCTCGTCTCCCGCTCTTGTCCCCCGTCTAGCACCTCGTTCCGGCCGACCTCGGCCATTGTCTTGCGCCCTCCTGTGTCCTGTCTCCCACCCTTGTCCCCCATCCTCATCTCCCAGCTTGTTCTGACTCCGAGTCCGTACCCTCGTCGCTCGTCCTACTGCTCCCTCGTTCTAACCCACCCGGCTCCTCCTTGCTCTTTCTGGGTGCTCCTATGAAGCATCATGTGTGGCCTCTTCCAGAACCTGTGCCAGGTCCATAACTAAAGATGACCTATACATCGGGCTTTACCTCGATATCCTGTGGCCACCTTGGCTCTGGAGGAGTGCGACCGCCCAGCAAGGCATGCTGCGTACATCTGGGATGTCTTGCCCGGGTTGCGCAATGTCCTGCGGTTTGAGTATTGCGCACGTTATTATCATGGTGGCTGGAAACCATATACCTTAGTCCCACAGGATGTTCCACAGCTGTTGGCTCAGACCATTGATTAGGACTCGGACTCGGACTCGGACTCGGACTCGGACTCGGACTCGGACTCGGACTCGGACTCGGACTCGGACTCGGACTCGGACTCGGACTCGGACTTGGGCTCACATTTAAACGATAACTGCAAAGACATCCCGCCTACACCATGACTTCCACTTTACGCTTGCACATACCGCTCCACCCTTGACTACCTACTTCGTATACAGTATATGTGATTCTCCTATGCCATGCCTTCGATCAGCAGACTCGATATCGACGACTTCTGCTCGCTTACTCTTCATATGTACCCGGCCTGATAGTACACTATACTCCTCCCCTTTCCTGTACGATAGTCTCGGAGCAACATCGACTTGTACGTTGTACACTAGGATATTTAGTACTTATGCACGTATACTGCGCCTCGGACGGACGATGCGAGGCTCGCTAGGTCGTTTACATTGCGTCTATATATTATGGGTGGGGTTCAAACTCGGAGGGCATGATGTTTTGGTCGTCGACAAATGCATGATACACATTGACATACATTCACAGTACTATACAGAGAGGGATAGCGGGGCGCGGGACGCGAGCACTGGACATCTGTGCAGGCTATGTAACTTCCACCGCAGCGGTCTGCATCGTCTGCACGAATGCGAGACGTCGGGTTGGCCGCGCCCTTCGCGATGTTTGAACTTTGAGGTACGTACCTTAATGTCAAATATTCCATATGGCACGCAGTGGGTGCGGCGACACATGTGCGGCGCTTCGGGGCATCGCATACGCGCGAACCTCGAAGACGTCATGGCTTTGCACTCCTTCTGCGATGGCGACAGAGCGTCACCATAAGCTTGTGTGAGATCGTCTACACGTCTACACTCCACCTCGCTTGAGGCCGAGATCTATGGGGCAACGTCGTTCCTCTTGGGATGCCTCTGGCGCGCATGCAGCATGTCCTGAAGGCGGGTGAGCGACGATTCGGGTGCAAATGTAAAGCGGGATTCACGTTGACATTCCTATGCTCCTGCACGCGACGAGCTCTCGCAAGTTCCAGACACCTGGATCAGACATGCATGTGCAGAGAAAGAAGTACGAACCTCCCAGAGTCGCAGGTCGACACCGCATCGTGAGACCTATCGCTGATCATATACCAGGCGGGCGTGGTGTACCGATAGGGGTACTTCTTTTACAGCGGCTTCCGGCCACCAAGGAGTTCGGGTCGTCCAACAGCCTGATTCGCAGCCGTGGTGTACCGCCCTCGGACTGGATCGTCGTCCCGGCATGTAGACGCAATCGGCGCGCGCAGGGTGTACATACACGCACCGCGGACCACCGGAAGGGAGCAGCTGGCCGTGCTCTGGGACGCACTCCGCGGACCGGGGACGCTCTGCATACGTATGGCCCTCCGCTGGTGCACTCTCTGCGTCCGAGGACAAGAGACGTCTTCGCGACATCCTCGAGCAGCGACAAGACGCACCTATGAGCCCACAGCGGCCACCAGGGGAACGCTCAGCCAGGTACCCTGCGTGTCGGGCCCGCCCTGGAACGAGCACACCAGAGAGCGGGGCGCGCCCTGCACGATATTTGGACTTAGAGGTACCTACCTTGATGTCTCATATCGCATATCGTATGAAACGGGTGCGGCGACACATGTGCGGCGCTTCGGAGCATCGCATGCACAGAGGTGTGCGCAAGCCCCGAAGACGTCGAGGCATGGCACTGCTTCTGCAATGGCCACGGAGCATTATCATGAGTTTGTATGAGATTGTGTACATGTCTACGCTCACCTCGCTGGACGCCGAGATCCATGGGGAAATGTCGTTCCTCTGGGGATGCATCTGGCGCGCATGCGCCACGTCTTGAAGGCGGGTGAGCGACGATTCGGGTGCAAATGTAAAGCGGGATTCACGTTGACATTCCTATGCTCCTGCACGCGACGAGCTCTCGTAAGGTCCAGACACCTCGATCAGACGTGCCCACCGAGAGAAAGAGGTGCGAACTAGGCCGACGTCCACCAAAAGTTGCAGGTCGACACCGCATCGCGGGGCACATCGCTATAGCCTTCTTAGCAACCGTAGCGTACCGCCCTCAGGCTGAATCGTCGTACCTGCATGTACACGTAATCGGCGCGCGCAGGGTGTACATACGCGCACCGCGGACCACCGAAAGGGAGCGGCTGGTCGTGCTCTGGGACGCACTCCGCGGACGGGGGGCGCTCCGCATACGTAGGGCCCTCCGCTGGTGCGCTCTCTGCGTCGCTCGTGCGATCTCTGCGTCGGAGGACAAGAGACGTCTTCGCGACATCCTCGAGCAGCGACAAGAAGCACCGACGGACCCACAGCGGACACCAGGGGCACGCTCGGCTAGGCACCCAGCGTGTCGAGCCCGCCCTGGAACGGGTACACCACTGAGTGGGGGCGACGCTATATTCCGCCCGTACGCGTCCGTCTTCGCCGCAGAGACCTGCCCTGATATCCCGTCCGCGCTGTCCGTGCCGCGTCTATGCGCCTATTCAGCGCTCATAATGTCCCGCGGCGCGCACCTTCGATCTGCGGAGCTTGGGTCTCGCCCGTCCGTTCGTATCAGCGTTGCAGCGGATAGGTAGCTTGAGGGCGTGCGAGCGATCGACGTGTGTCCGGTGGACGCGATGCAAGGGCGGGTGGTGAGCAAAGTGTGGGCGGAGCAGCGGCGTTCCCGGGCGAAGGGAAGGCAGTGTAGTCAACGGTGGTTGAGAGGGCATCGTAGCGAAAGCATAACCCAAGTCGTTCCGCACGGATCCGAGGTTCAGCTAGGGACGTGGAGGCGGTGGTGGGTGTAGTAGTGCAACAACGGCGCGGGATTGGACGACGTACAGCGAAAGATGAATGCGCAGAGAGACTGTCATGGCTCATGAGTTCTCAATCATCAGATAGGAAATCTCCGCACCATCTGTGTCGCATCGGTGCGCCAATTCAGCGCTCATGACGCCGCCCAAAGCACGTACCGTCGATGCGCAGAGCTTGCGTCTTGTTGGTCCGTTTCAGGGGATAGGTAGCCTGAGTACGTGCTGAGAGAAACCTGTGACCAGCAGGCGAGATGCAGAGGCAGGCGGCAAGTAGAGCGGCCGGGTAACAGCAGCGTTTGGGGCTGGATCGAGAGTCCCGCTATGCGTGCGAAGGAAAACCTGTAGTCGATGGCGCTCGAGAGCGCGTTGTGGTATGTGTATAACCTGAATCATTCCATCCGAATTTGTATTAGACTGTCGACGGCGAGGGGGATGCAGCGGTGAGCGCGGTGCTGTGACGATGGTGCATATATGGAGGACGTACAACCGGTCGTTTGTGTGCAGAGAACTTGCGATGGCTTGGTCTCCGGGTTCGGCGGTAACCCCATCCAATTGGATGTCATGCCAATAGCGTGCACAGAAGATAGCGTTTTGACGAGCCTATGACATCGATGACGAGACAGGAGGGCGGACGAAAGGGAGTTACAAAAATGAAAACTACGACAACGCGTGGGTGTGGGAATACCAGATTTTTATCGGGGAGAAGTCCGGCAAGCCCTCGGCAATCCCCTGCAAGCCTCCGCCATCACTGAGCAGGCCGCATATTCCCACGGGCGCACGCTGCCGCGGACAGTGAGCAGGAGGGCGCGCCCGCCGTTGCCTGCGGCGAGCGCGCCCTTTCTGCGACCCTTTACTTGTGCGCGCGGGGGCCGAAAAAGGTCAGTTACTCTACTAACGACATTAGAAAGCTTCAGGCGCCCTGCGACGCGCGTGAGCGGATGATCGCGTCTCTGAGCGCGAGCGCGCGCGCCCGAACAGCCCGCGCGCGGTATCGCGCGAGGGGACGCTCGCTCTCGCGCCCCTCAATCCAGCATCGCGCGGGGGTAAAATATACATATACATGATAGTACTTCAAGTATTCTACAGCACGCGTGCCCGTTTCACCATATTCCACTTGCGCGCGAACGCAGTAAGGACTTAGTTACTTTATTTCTCCATATCAGGGCCTCCGGCCATCCAGATTCCTTCGCGCGGCGCCGCGCGCGTGAGAGGGGGTTTGCGCCCATACCTACTTAAATATGGAAAGCGCGCGCGCGCCCGTAGCCCGCCCTCGTCATGGCGCGAAGGGGCGCGCGAGCTGCCTTTGTCCTCATCACGCACGTCGCGCGCCCTGCGCGCCCTCCCTGCCCGACGCGCGCCTCTGGAGTTGCCGGCCGGGCAAGCGGCTGATACCCGGAGGCTTCCTCCGATCAAATCTCGCCGTTCCCACACCCACGCTTTGTCGTAGTTTTCATTTTTACTACTACTCGTTAAGTAGTTGGTCCGCGTGGAAACAAATCGAAACGTCCCTCCTCCTCCTTCGCGCAAGACGGCGTCGATGGAGAAGGAGAGTGTGTGCGAGCGGAGACGGCAGTAGGCGTCTGCGAGGAGCCAATCAGCAAGCAGAATGTCTAACACGTGACGTCATTTCGGCGTGGCCGCTGCCGCCGCTGGAGTCTCTCTCGCAAGGACTATGCCACCTCGATACCAGCACAAGTACTCTGCCGCGGTTGGCACGGGGGTGAACGCCATAAACTCCAGAACGCCACCCCTTCAAGCTTCAAATTGCAACCCGCTAGCCGTGGTGGCGCGACACAAGATCTGTTATACCCGCATCCCGGAGGAGACACCGTGGCCACATGCTGCTGGTGTGTTCTTTGCAATCATTGCACTATCTCTGATGTCCGTTCAACTTGCTCCAGCGGTACTTTGCCATTTCGCGGCCGCAAGAGTACCCGGAACTTAACAAAGCCCACCTCCCCGGTTCGATCCCGGTCTACGAGATCCTGTACCTGGAGAACTCAACCTCTCCCGTCTCTCTCCGGGACACATCATGAAGTCATGGCGAATCTCACGGATATTCGTTGTCTGGAGCAGTGTATCGAGGTCCGTTTCCCATCCCCCAGTTACCTATGTGCTCACCCAGGGGACACATAGACCGGTAGCCGCATGCCGACAACACGGACGCCAAGAGCCACTCCGTCCTATTTGGTACATATATCCCGCTCCTGTCTCCTACGACGTCGCGACACTCGCCGGGTGCTACACGCCATGAACCTACTAGATGCTCAGGAAAATGTGCTCCAGTCGGAAAATTCTACTCTTTATCTTTTAGCGGCGCAGAGCGTAACTCTGACCGCCTGTCTCGCAGAACTCGGACTCGTTCTGGGATGAGCTGCGTAGGACCGCATCTGGTCTATGCCTTCTGCGGTGAGCTCCACGTGCTCCCCGTCTACCCCACGGCGCCCTATATATGCCATCGCTGGCGCCACCAATCCTCGCAACTCTTACTCCTCTGCTCTCCGCTTCAAGCGTGCTCGCCTTGGGATGAAGCATCGATGTTTGACGACGTTCCGAATGAGTTTAAGGCCACGACGCTCAAGCACTCACGTCTCCATTCAAAATATTCACGCATAAGCGTCTACGGTCTTGAAGAGGGCGTGTAGGGACGTATCAGTCGTAGGCACATCTGAGAAACCACGCGTTTGACTTTCTGGTATGTCTGTTTTCGCCTATCGCACCGCTCGCGGAAGCCTTCCTGGAGATGTGAGCAATCATCGACATCTTCCCGCCTTCGCGTCTCTCACCCTCTTTTTGCCCTTACAAGGGCGCCGATGCCTTCACTGCTGCTCTGCTCGTTCGACGGCAAAGGCATCGCTGGAGACTGCAGAGGTATCTCTGTCAAACCGTCGTAAGTCTTCCCGGGTATCCTGCACCTGTAACTTCCACTGAGCTCAAGTTCGAAGATACACCCAGTACGCGTGTATACGACTGCTTCCGCCACAATATGCGCGTCTGCACCTGCGGTGACACATCTACGGGTCTAGTACGCATGCACTCGTTTCGTCCGCCGTCCGTCTACCCGCTCATGCCCGTGCTATTAGGGTCAACTTGGTCGCGCTCAAGAGAACATGGGCGGATAACTGCAGATTGTGTGCTACGCACCGGCACTCGGTGTCTGCACACGCGATAAACGTCGAGTCCGTTGAGATCGACAACGTCGTCGCGAAGGATCGGCTCGTCCTGTCCCGCACGTCCGTCTTTCCCGCTTTTCCCCCGCCAGGTGCGATATAACGGATCTACCGAGATCGAGCCGGAGATTCTCGTCCACAGGGTATATCAGTCCCATGGGCGTGGACAACGTCAGGCTCTGCATGTCCGATCAACTCCATCTACCCTCGACTCGCGAACGATGCCCGCTCGACTTGGACGACACATCCCTTCTCTGGCCCCCGATGACTGGTGGCCGCGTTCACACCTCTCGGAGACAGGCTCGCGCAGACGAAGGGCTACGCGCGCCGCCGCGAGCCCTGCGGAAAAACGCGGCAAGCGGTGTTTGCAACTTTGCGCCCTCAGCGAGGGGACTTCGTGCTGTGTAAAAGCGTCTGCGGATCCGCATCCTGATGATATAGGTTATCTTTTCAGTCCTTGCGCGGCTTGTGACGTTTCTCTGATTGGCCCCCTCTCTCTTTGACCACCTCTCTGCGTGATCCTTTACTTCGAACACCCCCTTCTCCATTCGGCTCCTGTCTGGTAGAGCTAACGCCCGAGAAACCCTCCCCGCCCTCATCGGATAATGCTCAGGAGCCTAGGATTGTCTACGCTGGAGCGCAGCACAACGCCCGAACGCTCATGGAAATTGCAGCCAGCACGATGACACCCACGGTGAGTCTGTGTATCGCTTGGGTGCTTGTACAGGTGTACGTACGGATCGTCGGGCTGTCACGGGGCACATCAAGGCCGAGTTCGCTCCGAAAGCGAAGGTGCCTATTCGAATCTCCCCTTGGAGTAGCTCATCGCGTCTAGGGTGCACATATAGTTGGGCTTGTCTACCGGAACCGCACTCACGGACTGCGCAAGCAGCAACACAGACCGCATGCGCGAGTCGTGTCGTGGACGTTGCGAAGGGCCCGTACAGCATCGTGAAGTATACAACCACGCAGCACGGGAACGTGGCGATCGCGTGGTGATAGACGCAGCGTGTGCGCCGTCATTTGTACGGACGGCGTTTGCTCTCGTCTACGACCGGCTTTTTCTGGAGCACATGTACGAGGCGATTGCAATAGCACTGAGGCAAAGGCATGAGATGTGAACGGCGATAAAATATGATTCATTCGGTATCGATTCGTGTTGCTTGGGTACCGCTGTGGTCGCGGGATTCCGAAGCGTGATCGTGTGTGCGGACGAGTCGGCGGCTAGGCTCCCCGAGATGAACGGAACCCGGTGTACGAGGTCCAAATGAACAGGGGACGCCGGATGAGAGGAAGCAATGCGCACATACGCGTCCCTGTCCTAGGTGGCTTTCTCCTCACACGCCTCCACGTCCACCCGGGCAATTCGAACTACTCCCCATTCCTCGCCCTCCCCCTTCGCACATCTATACTCAGTAGGAGCGAGTTTGCGAACCTTGTGTACGTTCACTTCGCTCCCCGATTTTCCCATAATGTTCGCACACTCATAGAACATCCTACCAATACAGGGCCTAGTATCTCCAAAAGCAAGCCATAGCCGATCGCTGACTCGTCCTTCATGGATTCCTGCTTCTTGCCCATCGAGCTCTGCGAGAAAATCATGGACGCACTCCCGGTCTACGAGAGGTTTCCGGGCAGCAATTGGTTTCTGTTTCCCGAGTATGTTTGGAACTCGCAACGAGCACTCTGCGCGTGCGCTCTTACCTGTCGCGCATGGCGCGTGCGGGCCCAGTACCTCCTCTGCACCTTCCCATCCCTCTTCCATATGCAACAATTTGCTCGCTTCAAGACGGCATTTCGCAACTCCCGGAACACCGACATCATTTGCGGGCTCCTGCTAGGACATGCCGACGGTGAAGACGAAGCAACCTATCAGCACGGCAGGCGAACTCTTTACGCACTCTTTCCCAAATCTGCGGTCCTTGGTGCGCGGTGGAATTAGCTTTCAGCATGGCTCCCCTCTCCGAGTACTCCGCATGCGTCTGCCGTTCTTCGACAGCATAACCGTTTGGAGTTGTTTTGGTGTACCTTCCAGTCCTTGAGGGCGATGCTCGACGTGGTGTGGGCCTGCTCCAATCTTGCCACACTGGTCATAGCAGGCATTAAGGTCAATTCGGAGCGCTGTCACTCCGCCGCAGGAATCCAGAATCTGGTTGCCGCAGCGCGTAGTTTACGAGCATGTCGGAAACTTACAAGACTTTGGCTCGGTGAGGAAGCCAAAACAGCAAGTCCATCGTTTCTACTGCACAGTTTGACACCGCTCACAACCTACTGTGTATATAGAATTTTGTCTGGCACCACGCTGACACCGGAGTCACTGGGGTAGGCCGCATATTTGGGTGTGCTGTTACGGAGTTGCATCTCCTAAGTGAGCAACATCCCGGTATGTAGAATGCCTTCCAGCTACGTCACATAGCTCACTTTCTGCATACACTAGAGGGGTTCATCACGCTCTTTGGGGACTCGTTTCCGGCCATGCGCTCAGTCACGATTGACTGCACCTTTACCCGGCGGAGCGACGAAGCTCTGGAGCGCCCTTGGCTTCATGCCATAGCCACAGGTCGTCCAATACCCGGGATCCTGAAGACAATTGTTCTGGAGCAATTTCACGGGTTGGAGAATCATGATTTTTGCAAGCAGCTTGTGGGCATGGGCGAGGAGGTGGTCGGTTCCTCACAGCGGCTTCCAGATCTCTTACCCGAGCTGGCGGAGCTCGTGATCCGTCTAGAGGAGTGCGATAACCCGGAAAGGCACGCTGCGTACATCTGGAATGTCTTGCCTGGAATGCGCAACGTCCTGCGGTTTGAGTATTGTGGCAATGATGAAAAGGACTGGAAACCATATACCGTACTTCCAGAGGATGTTCCGCGTCTTTTGGCTTAGGACATCGATTCGGACTCGGACTCGGACTCGGACTAGGACTAAGACTAGGACTTGGACTCACACTTCTGCAAAGATATCCTGTCTATACCATGGCTTTTCTTCCTCTATGCTCACACGTACCGCTCAGCCCTTGACTACCTACTTCGTATGCAGTATCTGTGATTCTCCTATGCCACACCTTCGATTACCAGACTCGATATTGACGACTTTTCCTCGATTACTCTTCATATGTACCAAGCCCGATAGTACACCGTACCCCTCCCCTTTGTTGTACGATAGAGTCTCAGCGCGACGTCGACTTGTAGGTTGTACGCTTGAATACGAATTACTTACGCACGTATGCTGCGCCTCGGATGGACGATGTGAGGCTCGTTACGGCGTGTATCTATTATGGGCGGCGTTCGGACCTGGAAGGCACGATGGTTCAAAGATGAACAAATATATGATGACATACACGGCACAGACAGTACTACACAGAGGGAGAACGCGGGGCACCTGTGCAGATTTAGCACCCACTGCCGCGGTCAGTGTCCTCGGCACGAACTAGAGCTAGCACATGGATCACGTATCGTATGAAGCCCGGGATGCGTGTCTTGATGTCAGGTATTGCACAGTGCAGCGGGTGCGGCGACCCACGTGCGGTGCTTCGGGGAATCGTACGCGCAGAGGCGCTCTTGGAGATCCTGATGCCATGGTGAGAGAGCGCCCGCATAGGCTTGCGTGAGAGCACGCACAAGTCTACGCTCACCTCGCTCAAGGCCAAGATTAATGAGGTAAGGTCGGTTTCGGATACTACTGGCGCGCATGCAGCGCCATTCTTGAACGCGGACGGGCGACCATTCGGGCGCGAATGTAAGATGGGACTCGGGTTGATTTTCCTATGCTCTTAAGATCCAGACACGCATATCAGACACGATCGTGCAGGAAAAGAAGTACGAACTGGTCGAACGTCCTCCGAGAGTGGCAGGTCAATATCGCATCGCGAGACGCCTGGCTGCGCTGATACCAGGCGGGCATGGTGTTCAGGTAGGGGTACTTCATGTTCTTTTACGGCGACCAGGAGGCACCTAGACGGTCCGGTGAGGGGTTTCTGGCCGCCAAGGAGTTCGAGTCGACTCACAGCCTTGCTCGCAACACTAGTATACCGCGCTCTGGCTGGCTCCTTGTCCCTGTACCTCGACACAATTGGAGAGAACGCGACATACATCGGCGCGCCACGAACCAGCGGCAGGGAGCGGGTGGGCGTAATTCGGGGCAATCGTAGCGGACGGCGTGTGCTCTACAGACGGGACACCCTTCGCTCATGCTGTCTCCGCGTCAGAGGACGAGAGGCGTCTCCCCAGCGCCCTCGAGCAGTGACAGAACGCACGTATGTCCCTACGACGGCCGCAGGTGGCACGATCTGCTGGTCACCCTGCACATCGATTCAGCTCTGCCACCACACCAGGGAGCGCGGCGAGAAGATATTCCGCCCGTGCGTGTCCGTGCTGTCCGTGTCGCATCTATGCGCCCGTTCAGCGCTCATGGTGTCCCAAAGTACGTACCTGCGATGTGCGGAGCTTGGATCTCGTCCGTCCATTGGTCTGAGCGTCGCAGCGCGTAGGTAGCCCAAGTGCGATCGGATGTAGAGGCGGGCGGCGGGCGGTGGGCGGCGGGAGAGGTGGCGGCGGAGCACTGAGCAGCAGCGCGCGCGGAGTGGATCCAGAATGTGAATCTCGCGCGATTCGTGCGAGGGAGGCGACTTGATAAGTCTAGAGGCGTTTGGGAGCTCGTTGTGGCGAGTTCATACCGCACGTCAGTCCCTTTCGCGTACGCATCTGGGTTCGATTCTCGACAGCGAGGTGGATGCGGTGGTAGGCAGTCGTGTGGACATGGCGCAGAAATGAACGACGTACTAGGTGGTCGTACCCGACGGCGACTCTTGTCCGCATGGTTGTCAGCGCCGCAACGGAGTTCCAGATACGCTCCGAGCGGTATGCAGCTATGACAGGTTGAGGCTACGTTTGTGGGTGGTCGGGCGAATTGGTTGCACTTGCGAGTACTCGGGTCAGGCAATTTTGCTGATGTACAACTGGTCGTTCGTGCGCAGAGGCCTCACTGGACAGCAATTAAGCTGGCTGTTGCGCTTATATGAGACACAGAGGATAGCACTTCAATGAGCCTATGAAAGCGAAGACGAGACGTGTGCGCGAGCGAGGGGAGTAGGACCTACCTACGATATCGGATGAACGGGTCGTACCGGAGGACAGGCACCCAGGTGAGTGAAAGAAAGCACAGAGAGAGCTAAGACTCAGAGTGATACGTACATAGAGTACTGGTAGAGACGCAAGGGAAAGGTTGCAAGACCGCGTGTACCAGGGCACGCCGGTGTCGAAGAGAGAGCACGCGGAGACGCCTGCGTTCGAGCAGGAGACTAGGCGCCTGTGAGGAGCCAATCAGCAGGCAGAACGTTTGAGGCGTGACGTCATTGCCGCGTGGGCGCTAGCGCTACTACTGCTCTCCTCCAGCTTGCTGCTCAGCCGCTCTGGCTCTTGCCTGCTCTCTCGTCCTTTGTCTCTCGCATTCTCCGTGCTCTGCGTCGACCCTGGCGTGCGTTCTGGTGCCTTTATTACGGACGTGGACGCCCCGAATCTCTGCAAGTACACCCCTTCTGCCTTCGAAGCTACCCCAGCCAGCCTTCGCGCGACGCATCTCTTCTACGGCGCGCGGACTAAGTGTCGTATTCATCCGTGCTCCTCGTCGACCGCGGGGCGCTCTCTGCCATCGCTAACTCGGGACTGAACGCCACCAATCCCCGGCTCTCACTCTGCTCTCTGGTTCGATCGTGCTAGCCTTGGCACAAATCATCCGTTCAATGGCGCCCCGAACGAGAAGACGGCCACAGCGCTCACGTCTTTAGGCGACAAATGCACGCAAAAGCAACGTCTACGATCCTGGAGAGGGCATGTAGCTGGGTAGGGACGTACTGGTATACGCATCTGAGAACCCACGCCGCACACGTTTCTGGTATGTCTTTTTTCGCTCGTCGCACCGCTTGCGGAAGCCTCCCTGGAGATTTGAGCAATCTTCGATGTATCTCCGCCCCTCGTGCCTCCCACCCTGTTCCTGTCCCTACAAGGGCACCTGCGCCTGACCGCTGCTCTGCTCGTTCATCCGCAAAGGTATCGCTTGAGACTCCAGAGGTATCTCTGTCAAGCCTTCGTAAGTCATCCCGCGTTTCCGGCACCTGTAACTTCCATTGAGCTTCGATGGTAGATCCTCTACGCGTGTATACGGCCGATTTAGCCACAACATGCGTGTCCGCATCTGCGATCACACAGCTCTGGGTCCCGTACGCTCGCACTCGTCTCGTCCTCTGTCTGTCTACCCGCTCATGCTTGTGCTATCAGCGTCAACTTGTTCGTGCTCAAATCGCTCACAGAGAACATGGCGGATCCCGCCGCGAACATGTCCAGGGAGCTGTAGATCGTGTGGTACGCACCGGTACTCGGTATCTGCACACAGACTTCCAGTATCTATGCAACGAAGCGAGTTCGTTAAGATCAACAACATCGACGCGAATGATTTGCTGGTCCTGTCCGGTACGTCCGTCTTGTCCGCCTTTCTTGGGCCAGGGACGCTCACTATCCGTGAATTTGTGTAATTTTCCCCGCAGGTGCCCTCTGGATACGTTTTGCGGACGTGCATGGACTCATCCACCGTGTTCTAGCATGGGCCGCAAACACGCGCACGGTACGCCCATACCCACTCTGCATTTCCTCTTCGTGCTCATTGTACGCAGAACACGTCACTCTCCGTGACCAAGGACACCTCGGCACTGGTGAAGTTTCTATGAGCGCGACGCAGCGGTCGTCTCCCAAGGACGTCAGCGAACGGAAGACGCGGCGGCTCAACTCAGTTACACTTCTGTCCGGGCCTCAAAGAGTCGCGCGATGTCTTCGCTCGCTGCGTAGCTCACCGATCACTACAGGGAGCCGGCTCCGAGGGCGCGTGCTACACGGGGAGGAAATTGAGCTCCTCTGCCGTGCGACGCGCGGCTTCGAACGTCGGCGATGCACGACGAAGAGTCGGCAGGATACGTACGAGCACGGCCGCCTCCCCCAGCGCCTTCTTCGTTCTCTCCTCCATCACTCGCAGATGTCCGGACATGGCGGTGCCCAGTCGACTCTCTGTTTGGGGTGGCTCGTCGCGCCCGGGGCGCATGCGCGAGCGTCGTGGATGTCGTGAAGGGCCCGTACCGCATGGTGAATAATACAACTATGCAACACGGGAATGCGGTGGTCGCGTGGTGGTCGACGATCAGCGTGCGCGCGGCCAGGTACGTCTTCTCAGATCGGTAGACTACCTGAAGGACGCTATGAGCAGCTCACTTCACCGCAGGATATTGTCCCTCGCTGCGAGTCATGGGATGCGCCCCCGCAAGCATATCTGAGACTCGCCGCGTAAGAACTGCATGCGCTACACATATGCGACTCGATGGCGGTAATCCTTCAATCCGGCCTACTACTGCAGCCGCCAGTCTCAAGTTGTCTCTTCGACTCCAACATCCTGCTGGTGGTCTTGCAGCAAATGCGCCATATCAGCGCAGGCGTAGAAGTGAGAAGATCAGGATTTCTTGGTAGGAGAACCGACAGGAATACGGACGGCGTTTGCTTCCGTCTACGACCGGCTGTTCTGCAGCACATGGACGGGGTGATTGCGATAGAATTGACGCAAAGGTCTGAACTGTGGACTGCAATAAATATGATTTATTCGGCATCAATTCATGTTGCCTGGGTAGCGCTGCGGTGGCGGAATTCTGAAGCTTGATGGTGCATACGGATGAGTGGGTGGATAGGCTCCCGAGATGAACAGAACCCTATTATGATAGAAGCCGGTGTGTATTTGAAGAATCATCGAAGGTTTCATTGAACTCGCCGAGATCAGTAGTCTCGCGGTGTACGAGGTCCGAATGAGCAAGGGACACCTGGATGAGAAGACGCAATGCACATGTACGCGTCCCCGTCCTAGGTGGCTTTCTCCTAGCACACCTACACGTCCGCCTGGGATACTCGAACTGCTCCCCATTCGTCGCCCTCCCCTCTCGCACCTCCGTACTCTTCGATAGCGATTCTGCAAACATTGCGTAAGTCCACTGTGACTCCCTCCCAATTGTCCCATAAGTTGCCCAAGCTTATCGAACATCCTACCGATATGGGTCCAGCATCTCCGGTATTGCGCCATAGCCGATCTCCATCTCGTCCTGCATGGATTCCTGCATCTTTCCTATCGAGCTCTGCGAGAAAGTCATGAACGCACTCCCGGAATACCGCAACTTTCCAGAGAGCGGTTGGTCGCTCGTTCTTCAGTATTCTGGGGACTCGCAACCAGCACTGTGCGCGTGCGCTCTTACCTGTCGCGCATGGCGCGTGCGGGCGCAGTACCTCCTCTGGACCTTCCCGTCCCTCTTTGACAGGCAAAAATTCGCTCGCTTCACTCAGGCCGTTCGAAAATCCCCGAACATCACACTCATCCACGGGCTCATGCTAAAGAGCGACGATGACTATGAACCACCTGATCTCAGAACGGTGGGGGAACTCTTCATGCACTCTTTCCCCTATATGAAGCACTTCCTGTGTATCAAAATCGACTTTGACCGTGGACCCCCTCTCCGAGTACTCCGCATGCGTCTGCCGTTCTTCTCCAGCATAACCTCCCTGACTTTGTTTGGGTGTACCTTTCAATCTTTTAGGGCGATGCTCGACGTTGTGTGGGCCTGCTCCAACCTTGCTACACTGGCCATAGGACTCAATGAGATTAAATCGGAGCGCTGTTCTGCCGCAGCATTGCAGAATCTGTGTACCACAGCGGAGAATCTACGAGCATGCCGGAAGCTTACGAGACTATGGCTAAATGCGGACACTATAAAGGCAAGCCCGTCATTTATACTGCATATTATGAGATGGCTTACAACCTACTGTTTACATAGAAAATCTGGAAGCCCGCTAACATTGGACCAAGTGGTGTAGGCCGCGTATTCGGGTATGCTGTTACGGAGCTCGTTTTCCAAACTGAGCGTGCTCCCAGTACGTGGAATTCGGTCCAGCTACGTCACATAGCTCACCTTCTACATTCCCTAGAGGTGTTCATCAGTCTCTTCAGGGACTCGTTTCCTGCTCTCCGCTCGGTCACAGTCTGTTTCAGCGGGTTGGATGAGAGCGTGGAATTCCCGAGTTGGCTCCTGGCCATAGCCACAGGTCGTCCAGTACCCGGGATCCTCAAGAAAACCGTCCTGGAGTGCGAGCACTGGTCCCATGATCTCAGCTGTTGTAGGATCGCTGTGGGCACGGGCGAGGAGGTGGTCGGTTCCGCACAGCGCCTTCCGGAGCTCTTACCCGAGCTTGCAGAGCTCGTGCTCCGTCTGGAGTTGTGCGACCGCCCGGCAAGGCACGCTGCGTACATCTGGGACGTCTTGTCTGGATTGCGCAATGCCCTGCGGTTTGAGTATCGTCCACGTCATTATAGGTACCGGAGACCATATACAGTACTTCCACATGATGTTCCGCGGCTTTTGGCTCAGGACACCGATTCGGACTCGGACTCGGACTCGGACTCGGACTCGGACTCGGACTTGGACTCACACCTCTGCAAAGATATCTTGTCTATACCATGGCTTTTCTTCCTTTATGCTCACATGTACCGCTCCGCCCTTGACTACCTACTTCGTATACAGTATCTGTGACTCTCCTATGCCACGTCTTCGATTACCAGACTCGATATTGACGACTTTTCCTCGATTACTCTTTATATGTACCCAGCCCGATAGTACACTGTACCCCTCCCCTTTGTTTTACGATAGAGTCTCGGCGCGACGTTGAGTTGTAGGCTGTACGCCTAGATATGCATTACTTATGCACATATATCGTGCCTCGGACGGACGACGTGAGGCTCGCTACGACGTTTACGTTGGGCGTATATACTATGGGTGGCGTTCAAACTCGGAAGGCATGATAGTTCGGTCGTCGACCAATGCATGATACACACCGGCATACATTCACGGTACTATACAGAGAGGGAGCGCGGGGCGCGAGCACAGGACACCCGTGCAGGCCATGTTATATCCATCGCCGCGGTCTGCGTCGTCTGCGCGAACGCGAGATGCCAGGTTTGCCGCGCCCTGCGCGATGTTTGAACTTTGAGGTACATACCTTGATGTCAAATATTCCACGTGGGTGCGGCGACGCATGTGGGGCGCTTCGGGGCTTCGCATGCGCAGAGGTGTGCTCGAGTCTCGAAGACGTCGAGGCTTGGCACTCCTGCGATGGCGACAGAGCGTCGCCATGAGCCTGTGTGAGATCATGTACTGGTTTACCCTCGCCTTGCTCGAGGCCGAGATCCATGGTGGTTCTTCTTGGTATGCCTCTGATGCGCATGCAGCACGTCTTGAAGGCGGATGAGCGACGATTCGGGAGCAGATGTAAGGCGAGACTCACGTTGTTATTCCTATGCTCCTGCATGCGACGAGCTCTCGTAAGGTCCAGACACCCGGATCAGACGCGCCCGTGCAGCGAAAGAAGTACGAACGAGGTCGGCGTCCACCGAGAGTCGCTGGTCGACACCGCATTGCGGGGCACATCGCTACAGCCTTCTTCGCAACCGTGGCGTATTACAGCCCTCCGGCTGGCTCGACATTCCAGAATGTAGATGCAATCGCCGCGGGCACGGTGTATATACGTGCACCGCAGACCACCGAGGGGTTGGCCGTGCCCTAAGACACCCCCCGCCGACGGGACGCTCTCTGCATGCGAAGGGCCCTCCGCTCATGCGGGCTCTATGTCGGAGGAAAATAGAAGTCTTTGCGCTGTCCTCAAGCAGCGACTCGAAGCACCGATGGACTCACAGCGGCCGCGAGGGGCGCACTAGCACAGTGCGTGCCGAGCCTGCCCTGGAACTGGTACCCCAGGCAGCGGGGGCGACGCGATTTTCCGATCGGGTCTGTCCATATTCGCCTCGTGTGACCTGGCCTGAGTCGCTGTCCGCGCTGTCCGCGCTTTCCGTGCCGCATCTATGCGCCCAATCAGCGCTCATGATGCCCCGACGCACGTACCTTTGATGTGCATATCTTGGGTCTTGTCCGTCCGTTTCAGCGGGTAGCTAGCATGAGTGCGTGAGAGAACCCTGTGACCAGCAGGCGAGATCCAGAGGTAGGCAGCAAGCAGAGAGGCGGCGGAATAGCAGCGCTCTCCAGTCATTCGTGCGATGGGCAGACAATGTAGTCGAAGGCGCTCGAGAGCACATTGTGGAGAATGCATATCCTGAATCAGTCCATACGGATCTGGGGTAGACTGTTGACGGCGAGCTGGAGGCGGCGGTGAGTGTGGTATTGTGACGATAGCGCATAAATAGACGTACAACCGGTCGTTCGTGTGTAGAGTCTGCAATGGCTTGGTCTCGGGCCTCACCTGCACCGTTCTCCAATCAAAATAGGCGTCGTGATGTTATAGCGCACCGGCAGCGTCTTAATGAGCCCGTGAAAGCGAGGACGAGAGGGGACCGCGGACGAAGGGGAGAGGACATACGTTCGACATCGGGTGAGGGTAGACACACAGAGAAGATGAGCGAAAGAGAGTACCTTACGTAGAGACGCAAGGGAGAGTCTCGAAGAGGTGGACCAGGGTGCGCAGTAGTGAATGCACGGCGTCGATGCAGGAAGAGAGAGAGAGAGAGATCGCAGAGACGGCTGCGTGCGAGCAGGTAGGAGCCAATCAGCACGCAGAACGTACTTGAGGGTGAACGGCGATGCTTCGCACGCCAGATCCGATCCCACTAATTTAGGTACTGCAGATTATATTTGTAACTTATCAGGTATAACATGATTGACTGCATCTTATGACAGGACAACGAACGCAGCCGTTCAGGACATTGGCACATTGTAACACCGGGACAGAGGCAGAGAGCCGGCGATGATATCTGCCACAGCTTCGTAAACCCAACGAGAGAGACGGATGCATACAAGTAGTATAGCGCCACGCTCGTCAATGGGAATTATATCGTACTCGCGTGTAAATCTAATCATGACTTCTGCTTCTAACATGCAACGCACCGGGAGTATCACGGGGAGGAGCGGGACGCGGGCGGAGCCAGCAAGGCTCACGACCGCGATGATATACATGAGCTGAAATTCGCGTGGAGGTCGGAGACGCGTGAGCCGGG